TCTCTCTCTCTCTCTCTCTCTCTCTCTCGCGCTCTCTCAGCAGCCGATAACAACGAGCGATCGGTGGAAGATATTATAGCAACCAAACGCAGGGGCACACCCCATGAACTGGGGTCAGCGGACAGTGTCGCGGGCCGGTGGACAGTCTCGGAGGCCGCCGGCAGCAGCCGGACCTGGGCCACTAATGATCCGCTGGTACCCCTCGCGCCGTCAACAAAGGGGAGAGACGGGGTCGGGCTGATTCCGGCTTCGAGTGAGCGGCGGCCGGGCGGAGTTAGGTTATTATGAATACTGCGAATGATACACCGAACGCTACCGTGCGGCACCATATGGTGGAGAGTGGATGACGTCACGCGAGAAGGTGTTATCCCACCGAGAGGGGATCATGATTAGCACCGGAGTTAAATAGGAAGGCCAGTTTAAAATTAATTATTTAGCGTTAATATGTACAACGATACGTGTTCGATCGTGAATATTAAATGGAAATTAAATCTTGTTTATTAACCAATTCGCACCTATGCATTTTCAATTTTCATTATATTTCGTACTCGTGGTCAAATGCTAGCTTTATTTCAGCTTGTAAGCCGTAAGGATAGTAGGACGCCGCATCTTCCCATTGAGACTAGAATACCCGACTTTGACTCAGACAGCGAGGCCGTAAGTCTATGCATGTCGCTCCCCTGTGAGTGATATGCCTGCCAACGCGACTCTCGCACTTACTTTAGGTATTGGGAACAGGGCATGGGTTGCAGTTGCCTACTGATAATTTTTTATGGGAAGGGAAACATTGCTGACTAAAATATTTGCCTTATTTTGTTGGGCTACCGTATGTATTTGAAGTCGGTCGTGCTAATTGTGGGTTTCTGATTGAATAACGGGCTGGTGAGATAATTGCCCTTATTATCAGTTTGTTCCTTGAAGGCGTATAGGGTTCTAGCGAATGTCCAAGCAATAGGGTTAAGGAAGGGATGAGAAGCGAATGAAAGAGAAGGGAAAATATGCAATAGAAAAAATGGATTTCCTGAATGATGCTCAATAGGGATCGACCCCACTAAATGTTAGGCCTCGATTGAGTTAGCCCTGGGTGGTGATAAGGTCACGCGAGCCGTCGCTTGGGATGTGTATCGGCGGGTTGGTCGCCGCGAGATGATGGTGTTTCGTCTCGGATTGACAGCCTCGGAGGCTGGGCAGATTTTAGGCCGCCGGGTTGGCCCGGAACCCCTGAGCTATGGCTGGAGCGAGATGCGGTCATTAGTATCACGGACGGACCTTAGTTACCCAGCCCGGTTTCAAAACGTTAGGTAGGTCCGCTATCGGTCCCTCAAGTGAGCGGCGCAGGACGTCATTTGAAGAGCGACGTAGATAGTTTCGGAGGTGGTTAGGACCCCAGGCGTTCTAGCGAGGGATCGTATGCCGCCGGATGAGTAATGCCCCGCGAAGAAACGTGTAATGCCGCAGGACGGGGGTAAACATTAGATACCGAGTATTCGAGTCGGGTGATCGCAGTCAGACGGTGCTGGCCACCCGCAGTCAGTCGAGTAGCTCCGGCCATGCTCTGGTCCTTTCGAATAGGTCTGTGACGACAGTTTAACTACCAGCCACGGATAGATAGGGCTCTGGGCACCTATGTGCTGGTAGTCGATGATGGATGCCGAGTGCAGGATGTCCCCGAGAGGACCTGCGTGTGTGGAAGACGAGTGTCGTCTTGATAGATAGCCGACGTAGGCTAACCCGTTTAGATCGCCGGTTTGGCCCGGAAACCCTGAACTATGGCTGGTGCGAGATGCGGTCATTAGTATCACGGACGGACCTTAGTAACCCAACCCGGTTTCAAAATTTAATGAGTCCCCCGTGGAAAGCCGGACTAAGGAGTCTCCTGCGAGCCCTGGTCTCGGGGCTGCGGGCCGGAGACGTTTTCCCTTTCTTTGTGTAGGCATTGGGCATGGTCAACTCAACTCGAGTGCCGAAGCATGAGGTGGTTCGTATATTCTATTCGTGTATTATGAGTGTAACGAAGTTTTCGCCTGATTTACGGAGCATAGTGAAGGAACAAACCTTACGAAATTAAAACAATGACCCATTTGAAATCCATTGTATGCACTGATACGTAAACGGAAGTTCCTGTCTTCAAACTGTTTTTTTTTTAATTACGCGTATAGTTTGATTAGTCTGAACCTGGGTACCACTGGGGGATTGTAGGAAAACGGGGGAGGGACAGGTTTGCCACCTGAAATATTTTTACGATGCATGGAAGAATGAATGAGTGGCCGTGTGAATGAAGAATTAATGGTGAGAGCGTGAATGAGTTATATCCAGTGGGAGGAGGCACCCTCAACTCAGGGGATAACTTAAGAACAATAGACGCACAATTGTGAGATTTCGCTGGAACATTGATTGATAGACATTTTTGAGATTTCGTTAGAATATAACAGAAGGGAGCGTAGGCAGAGAGAAACATCAGGCAACCTTTTAATATCCCACCGTGAATGCCCACCAACCCTGTGACCCATGCCGCTGTACTGTGTGTAGCAGTCTATGTGCCCGCCAGAGAATGACCAGCCTCGCAACACACACTGATCAGTAGCCCGACACCCCGCTACATCTCCGTCCCTTCATCCCCGGCACCCACCAGAGATGGCCGGCGGCTCGACGGGCAGATCGAAGTCGTCCTCTCGCTGTGTCACCGCCTGTCTCTCAGCTGCCAGCTCCAGTGCCACCCTCAGCACGTGCAGCAGGCTCTCCTGCTTCTTCAGGCCGCGGGACATGCGGTAGAGCCGCAGTGCCTCCTCGTGCTGGGTGATCGCCTCGCGGAGGTGGCACCGGCCTGGGAAGGGGCGGGGGTGGCACACGGCGTGAGAGGGCTGTGAGTGAGGCAATGAGGGTGGAATGCGGCATCAGCGGGATACGCTTAGAGACGCTGAAAATATACATGCGTAATTCCGGCACCATGGATATGTGATTTTATCGTCAGTAATGAGCCCTTTACAAGAAGTTTCCTCAAGTTGAACAGAGCTGTGATAAAACAGAAGCTGAAAAACTATTAAAACGTACCGACCAAAGCGCAATGAATATACATAGGTATGTAAAACATGCAATTCACAACCGGCTAATGCTTGAGTCATCTCCTCTCTCAGCGCACTTCCTTACCATCAACCCTCTCTTCCTGCTCTGCTGCTCAACCGGACGATGAGCTCACTGCAGTTGGCGGCCTTCATCCACCCACGTCCCCCCTCTCATATCCGCACTAACCGAGATAGAAGGCCTGTGCGGCGGTGCGCGGTGCCGTCAGTTCCGCCCCCAGAATGGTGCCTCCGTCCTGCTGGGAGTGCCGGAGTGTCGCGGCGTCCTGTTCACTCAGAGGACCTCGGTGGTCCAGTAGTCCTGTTGCATTGCAAAGAAGACACAAAAGTTGAACACAAAATATGAAACAAAGAAAACACGTGAACACAAGATCGGGCAGGGAAAACACGGTACGAATCGTAACGATATTTTGCCACTAGGTGTCGCCACTTGTTACGCCTGAATATATACTGTACCGCAAGACAGATCAGCCGACTGCCAATAGATGTCTCTAGTTGTAGTCACGAATCGTAACTAAATAATTGCCGCTAGATGTCACTAAGTGTTACGCCTGAAGGTATACTGTCCCGCAGCACAAACTAGCCGCCCGAGGCCGCTAGCTGTAGTGAAGCAAAAAGCACAATGCCTTGGACCATGAATACGATCGTTGAGTGCCATTGCTACCCTTACCGAGGGCCAAGTGGTTGTGAGCGAGTGCCGAGTAGTGGACCGCCTTGATGTTGACCAAGTCCTGCCAGGAGGGCGGCACTGACTCCTCAGAGGATTCGGACATCGGTGTCATCCGCTCCCCCAGTCGCCGGTACATCTCAGACACCTGGCGGACGACAGGAAGACCAGAGTATAGGGAGCGGCGGACAAACAGACAGAGGGGAAGACTGGAACATACGGGCCTACGGGCAAAGATGAGATACAGACAATCAAATAGACAGTTACGAGCACCTTTATCACCTTTACGAACTAAAAATGAAGGCATACATAAATACACCGTCGTCCAAAACTCATAGCGACGCAGTTGTTCAGCTATATCCACTCACCACCGAGCACCCCAGCTTCCTTCCCCATGGCTCCGCCGTTCATCCCCCTCGGCCCTTGGAGTAGTCATTCATCCGCCCAAGCGGTCTCCATGTCCCTGCTTTCCTCCTGCGCTCTCCTGCTGTCCCCGTCACCTTTTTAAACCTCTCCCTGGCGGCCTGGCCATGTCCTAACAATCCCTCTCACCTGAGCGGCCTCCCTGCCCATCTCCAGCCGGGCTGCCAGCTCGGCGCTCTCCTCTTCCAACAGCAGTCGCTCCAGGCGACACTCGCCCGCCTGGGCGGTCAGCAGGCCCGTCAGAACCTCCAGCACGTCCGGGTCCAGGTCGCGGCTCGGGGCGTTCGAGAAATTCTCCAAAATGTACCTGCGGGAATGGGAAGGGTTAGAGAGCAGTTTAGGGTGCACGATTAGCAGCGTGTAAGACTAAAAAGAAGGCAACGATTGGGAGTATCGAACGGTATTTAAACGGCTTTTCTGAACGGAAAAGAAGAAATACACACTTCGACATCAGATGATGATTGAACCACTAGTAACGTTTCTATTGCTGTCACTAGCATTACTTCATGCATACCTATAAACGCGACTAGTCCATGCCATTTCGCAATGCACTGCCATGATACATGACACGACCCATTCTAAACGGCAATTAACCGATTACCCGGCGCACGTTCGGTAAATGATTTCCGTAGCTGGAGTTCGAGTGCCGACTAAACGTCGTACCCACCTGTATATTCCGGCTGCTCGCAGGTAGTGGCCGATAGTGGTGTCCAGACCCTTCTGACAGGTCCGAGCTTCCTTAGCGCCCAGCTGGCTGTGTAGGGCGGCGATGTTGAATAGAACAGACGCCTTCTCAAAGGCCATCGTCCGCTGGCAGCTGGGCAGGCCCGTCAGAGAATCATACCTAGGGATAGACGACAGAGTCACGGACAGGCATAAACAGGACGCATAAACAAATAAATATCAAATATTAGGCAGTTCGCTGTGATAACGTCAGCAAACTTAACCCTCGCCCGTATTGGTGTTTTTCCAGCCGCGAACGTATAAGGGGGGGGTCCGTTGGACCCCCCTCTTGCCGTTTCGCCCCTGATCGAGCTAGAGCTTCGCGGAAAAAACGAGCGTGTTGCCCGTGACGAGAGGAAGCCGATGATACCTAATTTTAAGGTCCTAGGTCATTGGTTGATCTTGCAGGTCAGGTCAATGACCCAAAAGTCGGGAAAATCGGGACCTGTTAGAACGTCGTAAAGTGTGGCTGCTATGGGGTTTTTGGGGGCGCTGATCACGAATATCATGTTAGTTTTGATCACAGATGACGTCTTTATGCATTTATTCCAGGTCGGGTCAGGTCAGGTCAGGTCAACCAGTAGGGGTCCTGCCGGGTATTCCTAGTAGGTGTCAACCGCCTCTGACAGCTTCGTAACATGTTACGAAGGCACCAAAACTACTTCGTAAATGTTCATATGGTTGCTAAATTCGAATTCAGCTCCAAAAACTGGCCTAAAAACATGTAAAACTCGAAAAAGTGAACCGAGGTCACCAAAGGTCAATGACCTGACCTGACCTTCAGGTGACCTTGGCACCCCCCCCCCCCCCCCTAATGCATGGGGGCAACATCATATCACATGTTTGAACGCTTGAAACCACGAAAAGACTGCAAACGCGCGGCTAATGCGAGCCGACATACGCCGAATCGCGATTCCGGCCAAACATGGTCTCGAAAAGTAGGTCACAGGTCAAAGGTCATTGGGGTCAGGGTCATGAAATTTTCAGGGTAGGTGTAAAATTGATAAACGCGAGGGTACTGAAAGTTTCGTCGCGATCGGCCGCTTTTTACGCGAGTTATTCGCGAAAAACCATGGGGGGGGGTCCGTTCGACCCCCCCCCTATACGGGCGAGGGTTAACCCTCGCCCGTAAACGGCGATCTGCCACCTTCGCCCATGCAGGGGGGGGGGGGGTTGGTGCGACCCCCCCCCCCTTGGCGTTTGAAAACAGAGCGTCGTAGAGCTTAGCGGAAAAGACCAACGGATTGCTCTCGCCGAGATCTCGCGATTGGTGGTATATTTTTTGGTCCTAGGTCAACATTTGACCTACTTTTGACCGGTCAAAGGTCAAATTTTCGGAAAAATAGACTTTTTTCAACTTTCCGCGGCGATTGCGGCAAAACGGTGGGAGATATCGACTTGAAACCTTCACTATCGTGTTCCTTGATCAATTCTCTATCGTTTGGTATGTATTTCGTTTCCCTAGCTCTAAAAATGGCGCGTTGGGAGCGCCGGAAGTCGGCAAGGTCACAGTCGGCGGCAGAAATTCGAAAAATCAAAATTTAAATTTTTGAAATCTGATTGTATTTTTGGATTTGGAAGGTCCATTTGCTCCCTATAGAAGCTAATATTGCTGCATATTCCCATTGAGGTGACAAGAATTAGCAAAATAGTGGTTCGGGCGCTTTTCAAAAATAGTACCGGACGCTGTTCCTCTTGTGACGTCATAGCTCCGTGACCTGACCTGACCCGGTCAAGTTTCTTATACCATATGATAGCCAATACTTGCCCCAACATGCATGGGAAGTTTCATCACGATCCATCAACCGATGTCCGTACCACCGGCAGGAAACCTCGGGCGTTGGCACTCAGTTTGTGAAAATCCGGCCGGAGGCTGTTCCCTTTGTGACGTCATAACTCCGTGACCTGACATGACCCGGTCAATTTTTTTATCAAAAGATGCGCAAGGTTTGCCCCATAAGGTACCCAAAATTTGGCGGCGCTGCGCGCCGCCGTTTTTGCACTATTTCCGAAAAACCTCAGGGGGGGGGGGTTGCACCAACCCCCCCCCTACATGGGCGAGGGTTAACCCTCGCCGGCACAGGGGGGGGTTGATGCAACCCCCCTAAGGTTTTTCGCGAATAACTCGCGTAAAAAGCGGCCGATCGCGACGAAACTTTCAGTACCCTCGCATTGATCAATTTAACACCTACCCTGAAAATTTCATGACCCTGACCCCAATGACCTTTGACCTGTGACCAGGCGCGTAACCACCACTGGGGACACTGGGGACCGGTCCCCAGTAACTTTTGGATTACTGGGGACCGTCCCCAGTAAAACCGATGGCCTTCTCACTTTGCTTAAATAGCAAAATATTGTCTCTAAAGTTACGTGAAGAGTATATATGTGCTGCAGTCAACGGAAGACAAAACAATGGAATCTTTGTTTAGCCCGCGCCCGGGTAAGCCTCTCGAGTAGTAAAGGAATCTTGGGCCTCTCAGCCAACTTCGCCATGGTGGGGGGCCGGGGGCCTTTTTTGGCCACACCAGATTATCTCGGAAAGTAAGCAAGCTAGAAAGACGTGGTAAAAAAACAACAGATAGCTCGCTACAATATCTTTCAGAATTACCTATGTCATTTTTGATCATGTGACCGCTGAGGTCACTGGAGTTCACCAAAGGTTGAACTCCAGTTTTACGGTAAGTCATATTACTATAAAACTTTCACGAACTTGAAAATTTGACCCCAGGTCAAGGTCACGGAAAAGGTCATATTGCATTGTCATTCGATTGGTATTGTTGAGCTGAACACATTCATGGTGTTTTTAGCGCTCTAGCGTGTTTCTGCTCAAGTTATGATAAAAAACTACTGGAAATGTTTCATGACCTGAGATGACCTCGGGCCTCGGGGGCATAGACGGGGTCACAGGGCAATTTTCTGGCTCAGTGTGTCATGTTTATCTGTGTCACGGTGTTTGAATGTGTTTTCGGCCAAAAGAAGAGCATTTCAATTTTCTCTCATTGACTTATCGTAAAACTGAGGTCGCAAAAGTGACCTGACATTAGGTCACCAATGTGAAAACTTTGAGATATACGAATTATCCATGCAGATTTTCCTCATGCAAAATCTCGAGTTTCAGACTTCTGGGATGTAAACTGTAGGAATGACAGAGTCATAAAGTTTTATAGAGGGGCCTTAGGTGACTTAGGAGTCAAAAGTTTCACACGATGCGAAATTGAGGTAACTATCATAAGCTATGCCAAGTTAAGCGGCGGTGCGCACCGCGGTTTTATTTACATGAGCAAAAAAAAAAAAAAAAAACTGGCAGGAGTGGCCACCCCCCCTCCTCCCCACTCGGACAAAGGCTGATCCTAAAATATAATGTTTGATCTTCGCGGCCCTCCATGTGGTCCCCAGTAACTTCAGACTCGTGGTTACGCGCCTGCCTGTGACCTCTTTTCTGTGACCATGTTTTGGCCGAAATCGCGGTTCGGCGCATGTCGGCTCGCATTAGCCGCGCGTTTGCAAGCTTTTCGTGGTTTCAAACGTTCAAACATGTGATTTGATGTTGCTCCCATGCATTAGGGTGGGTGTCAAGGTCACCTGAGGGTCAGGTCAGGTCATTGACCTTTGGTGACCTTGGGTGACCTCGGTTCACTTTTTCGAGTTTTACATGTTTCTAGGCTAGTTTTTGGAGCTGAATTCGAATTTAGCAACCATTTGAACATTTACGAAGTAGTTTTGGTGCCTACGTAACATGTTACGAAGCTGTCCGAGGCGGTTGACACGTATTACGAATACCCGTCACAACCCCTACCGGTTGACCTGACCTGACCTGACCCGACCTGCTCTAAATGCTTAAAGACATCATCTCTGATCAAAACTAACACGATAATCGTGATCAGCACCCCGGAAAAACACATAGCAGCCACACTTTACGACTTTCTAACAGGTCCCGATTTTCCCGGTTTTCGGGTCATTGACCTGATCTGGAAGGTCACCCGATGACCTAGGACCTTAAAATTGGGTATCATCGGCTTCGTCTCGTGACGGGCAACACGCTCGTTTTTTCCGCGAAGCTCTAGCTCGATTAGGGGCCAAACGCGAGGGGGGTCGTACCAACCCCCCCTTGTGCCGTCGAAGGACTCAAAATGGCCTGTGCCGGCGATGGTTAAAGCAGACGCTTGTGCCAACATTCGATGACACGAGGAAGAGAAATGCTTGCGTGTTGAGGCAAAACTTATTTATCCTGTATTTGTAGACAGCTCCATAGGCACTATCGTAAATAAAACAACGCGGAACGCTTACCATTCAAGGTAGACTCCCAGGTGTCTGTCGGGAGGGAACAATCTCCGTTCGATGAAGTAGAGCTGGTTGTAGTACTCAAACAGCAGCGCCAGTCCCGTGCTGCTCCGCTGGGGCGTCCTCATGGCCTGCAAGACAATGGCCAACTTAGATTCTTCTTTTACATTGTGTCGCTCGCATTAACGTTATTGCCTATGGGGCTACAATCTAAGAAACGGTATGATGAGACCAATTTAAGTGGGTCGCCAATGTCGAGCATTCTAGGAGAGGCATAGGTGTAGCGGTTATATATAAACTGAAATGAAGTGTTGGTAGGACGCACTACACTGCAGGAAAGTAGGCTGTGCCGCACAACACTACGGACTGGAAGATAGGCTGTGCCGCGATACATACTTGACCAGCAGGTAGTCTGTGCCGCAATACACATTCGGCTGGAAGGTAGTCTGTACCGCACTACACACTCGACTGAAAGGTAGGCTGTACCGCACTACACACTCGGCTGAAAGGTAGGCTGTACCACCGTTCCGTGCTTCTATCCTCAGGATACTGAAATCCTTCTCCTCCACGCCGCAACCCCCTCCGGGCTGGACAGGCAACTTTATCACATGCGGGCTGCTCCCTTGGAGCGGCACCGTTGCTCCCGAGGGAGCGCCCCCCGTAGCCGGGTGCAGTGAGTGCCTTGGGGCTGGGTGGCCTGTCCTTCGGACGGGCTCAGCCCCGGCGACTCACTAGGGTGCCTGCCCAGACCAATGTCTCCCCCTACATCCTATTATCCTCCCGGCTCTGAAATGGTCTAATTGGACCGAAAGGGCCTAACCCAACAAAACAAACAAAAATAGGCTGTACCGCGCTGCACACTCGGCTGAAAGGTATGCTGTACCGCAATACACACTCGGCTGAAAGGTAGGCTGTGCCGCACTACACAGTCTGCTGGAAGGTAGGCTGTGCCGCAATACACACTCGGCTGAAAGGTACTGGAAGGTAGGCTGAACCGCAATACACACTCGGCTGAAAGGTAGGCTGTAGCTGAATGAGCCGTGTTCAACGTTGGGCGAAGCATGACGACCACATCCTCACACGATTTGAGTTTCACTTTATATGACGGAACGTATGTCATGTCGAACATAATGGGACTGAGGGGAGACGCACCTGCCTGGTGTCGATGAAATCCTTGATGACGCCAATATACGGCTCGGGGTCTTCATGGTAGTGCTCAGCTATGAATTCCTGCAACGTAACGATATCTAATGAGGCATGACGTGATACCGTACGAACACCAGGCACTTAGCCAAGGGCTCCGCCACGGACTTTTGGTTGGGGGGGGGGGACGGTCTGCTCTTCGCCCATCGCCCTAGTGTCTCCTCTAAACCTAGGGTACCCCCAAATCCAGTTTTCTCATCGAATTTAGGCCACTTGTTTTTCGTCATAGCCCTGATACGATGTTTTTTTAACTATAAAATAAAAAATAGAGAAATGGTAGGCCACCTGACCCATGCAATATTACCCAATATTAGATTGTACCTTCATCATATTGACACACCGGACAGAAAAAAAAACTTGAAAAATAAACTTCAATTTTGTATGATATCTGGCTCATAGTTTTGCGTTGAATCTGAATCCATTTTTAGCATTTGGCGAAGGTCGGGTCAGGTTAGATGAGATCAACAAGTGCGTGTCCCGCCGGCTAGCCAAAGTAGGTGTCAACCACCACAGACAGCTTCGTAACATGTTGCATTGGTACCAAAGCTACTCCTGAATGTTCAAATGGATGCTTAATTCGACATCATCTCCAAAAAGTTTCCTAGTAACATGCCTAACTCGAAAAAGTGAGCCAAATTCATCTAACGGTAATGACCTTGACCTGACATTCACGTGACCTTGACACCTACCATAATGCATGTGTCTACAGTCATTTCACATGTTGGCTCGGTTTTATGACATAACAAGTCTGGAAACGCCTATAGATAATGTGCGCTAACATACACCGAATCGATGTTTCGGCCTGACATGGTCTGGGGAAATAGGCCACAGGCCCAACACAGACCCAAAAGTCATGCATGGCCCATGGGGGTTAGTTAGGATCATGAAATTTTCAGAGGATGTGTAAAATTCTCGGGAAATACTAAAAGTTCCGTCACGATAAACCACTTTTTACGCGAGTTACTTGCGAAAAACTGAGCGGTGGGTCAATCCGACACACCATAAGAACGAGCGTTAACCCTCGCCGGCACAGGCCATTTTGCGTCCTTCGACGGCACAAGGGGGGGGGGGGGGGGGTTGGTACGACCCCCCTCGCGTTTGGCCCCTGATTGAGCTAGAGCTTCGCGGAAAAAACGAGCGTGTTGCCCGTCACGAGACAAAGCCGATGATACCCAATTTTAAGGTCCTAGGTCATCGGGTGACCTTCCAGGTCAGGTCAATGACCCGAAAACCGGGAAAATCGGGACCTGTTAGAAAGTCGTAAAGTGTAGCTGCTATGTGGTTTTCCGGGGTGCTGATTACGAATATCGTGTTAGTTTTGATCATAGATGATGTCTTTAAGCATTTAGACCAGGTCGGGTCAGGTCAGGTCAGGTCAACCGGTAGGGGTTGTGACGGGTATTTGTAATACGTGTCAACCGCCTCTGACAGCTTCGTAACATGTTACGAAGGCACCAAAACTACTTCGTAAATGTTCAAATGGTTGCTAAATTCGAATTCAGCTCCAAAAACTAGCCTAGAAACATGTAAAACTAAAAAAGTGAACCGAGGTCACCCGAGGTCACCAAAGGTCAATGACCTGACCTGACCTTCAGGTGACCTTGACACCCACCCTTATGTATGGGAGCAACATCAAATCACATGTTTGAACGTTTGAAACCACGAAAAGCTTGCGAACGCGCGGCTAATGCGAGCCGACATACGCCAAATCGCGATTCCGGCCAAACATGGTCTCGGAAAAGAGGTGTAACAGCTGGAAGCTGTGACATTTTTTTCTCCGTACGTCAAAAAGGACATCTCACACACTCTATACGTAAGGACGATCGCACTGCCTGCCGCGGCGCTGAGCCGGCGTGGGGAGGGGGTCGACCAAACGATTACCCGACCGTCGGCCGGTCACCATTAAGCGAAGATCAAAGGCTCGCCGAAGGGTGGAGTTCCAACACACCCATCCGGGCCGGCGCAGCTGCCACCGACAAACGCGGTACAGTCGGAACCACCTGCTCCCGGTGCTGGCTAGTGCGAAAAACGCCGCGTCCGGCACAGGCAGGGACCGACATCCGGCGAAAATCGAGTGTGAAAACGTCATCCGGCAGGAGACAGCTGAGACGGATGAGCCGCGCAAGTGAGGATGACGTCGCTTTCCGGCGGAATGGAGGGAGGAGGGTGACAGTCTCGACTCCGGATGCGAGACGGGATGTCGCCAATTTTCTGCCCCGGTCGGGGAGGCCCGGCGACGCCCGGAACCTCCGGCCCGGAAATCACAGGTGAACAAAAACTCAGAGGAGAAGGAGAAGGGGATTCAGACAGACCCGAGGCCGACCACCGGAGGCCGACCACCAGGGACAGAACGCCTCGGGACTCGGCGCGGGACACCGCCCCGCCCGGCTTCGGCCGGAGCGGCCTCGCTGCTGATCGGATCATCACTGCACCGGACCTCAACTGGAGTGGACAGCAATCATCAAACACTGTCAAGTGAGTCATCTCATCTGTCCGCCTCATCAAGACTGCCTCCCCGTCATGGACAATTCACCCTCCATTCACCCATCGGATGTCTCTGATCTGGATTACAAATGCCACTCCCTGGGGTCTAACCTGAGCCACCATTAGAGGGTAATGGATTTAACATCGTGGGAGTGTTATTCGGCAGGGAAGGGAGGGCAGATGGTCGCTACATTCCGCTCCCGACCGAGCAGCGCGGCAGTGGTGCGTCTGTTTGTAAAGGCGGGAAGGGGCTAATGGGCCTGACTGGTCCGGCCTTGTCTATGGGATAGACAGAGGGGTTAGAGGGACAGCCGGGGCGGGTCAGTAATGGTCAGTGTAGGCTAATGGCTCACCATTACATTGGTGTTGGGGGGAGCGCTATCTGTCGGCCATCACGCGCGCGGTCCGGCCGCAGTGAGGTGTGGGATTCGAGGGGAGGGGTACAGGTCAGATGGTGTCACTTTGGGGGCGCTGGTCACTATTGACGCGTCAAACTACGTCAGATGACGTCATGACGGTTCAATTCGCGATGTTTTGTAAATATTTTTGCGGTTAGGGCGTTAGGATTAGGTTTAAGGTTAAGTTTGTATCAAGAATGGCGAGTTGAATATCTCGATCGCGCTACAACGGTGACAATGACCAGTATTGTATCGTCCGTTTGTAAATATAGCGTGAAAATTTAACAATCTGTCTGGGAAAGAAGGGGAGGGTTACTTCAGATATGTTGTTGATTCGGATTCACAGAGACCGCTAACGTAATTATCATTGAGTCGTCATCGTCGATCACACGGTCTCACGCCGGCCTAACAACACCACAGGTTCACCGGAGTTGAACTAGACTACGCCACGGCCGTCTGATCATCAATCAACGGAAATGCAATGATCACCCCTCACGACGCGACCATCACAGATACATTTTTTTTTTGTTCGAAGCTAGTAGGTCAGCATAAGTTGTTTCATAATCTAACTAGTTTGAACTTGGTAGGCCAGCGTATCAATCCATTGTCAATCTAGTGTTAATTCCAAGTCTGTCAATCGATTCTTAATTCTTACAAGTACTATTCGAGATAAATCGACGGTCAGCGTAGGATCGCCACATTCCTGGGGCAGATTCATCATTTGGATAAGGTTTGATTCGAAGGCGGCCCAAGAAGTCGTAACGTGTTCAGTTACATTCGGATAGGGAGAGTAAACATTGTAAACGTCAAACATTATTCTGCTCCTTCGGCAGCTCAGCGCCAGAACAAGTTGAATTGCCTTCCGGGTTGTTATTAAATCAGTATTGAGTCGTTTCGTGATTCGCGTTCATATAACTGATACAAATCTGAATCACCATTTCAATCGTTTTAAATTTTTCGCTGTTCGTAACCTGTCAATCAATTCCCTTTCTCTCCTAGCATTATCAGTACCTAACTGATATTGATGCTAGCTCCCCCGTCGAGGTATATCAAAGATTAACGTAGAAATGTTACGGTTGTTAAATTGATGCATCATTTGAGACAATTAATCATAAACGTCAAGCGAGTTACCGTTCAATGTGACGTGAAAATGTCACCCTGTTTGTATACAACTAGAGTTGGTTACGGAGGGAAGCGAGAAATTATCACCGCCCATTAATCACCATTCAGGTATGATAAGGACCGTTTTGTTCAGATCGGATTACTGAGTAGTCTGCAGACCCCAATTAATTGACAGGAACCATGTAACGTGCACGGTCACACCACGCATTATGCCGCCGGGCAGCATTTGCCTACACTTCCAGCCCACTCAAGTTAGTTAACACCGGGATCGTGAACGTGACCACGCCCACCCGTTCCTTGAAGTAATTTGTGATTAATTTTGGGAGTATGTTGGGCCCCGTGAGTTTTACTAAAAACTGAGCGATTGTAGCCCGCGCGAAATGAAAAATGTATGACCCTTGACCTTAAACATGACCTTAAACAATTAACAGGTCAATTGACGCACCAACGGTAGCACCACTAGCGCCACCTTCAAGGTCCAATGCCTTCGGTGCAAACTCCGACAGCGCTCAGATGCAGCTGACAGTACTAGCAGTGCCGCCTAGCGTGAAATAGACCAAGCTGGTTCCCTAAACTGCCGCAAGAGGTCCCTCGTGTCGGCACGCAATTGCGTGTGACTGACTGAAATGAGTGGGTGAGTGAGAGGGCGAATGTGAATGATCCTAGTGAGAGAGAGAGAGTGAGCGAGAGAGAGAGAGAGAGAGAGAGAGAGAGAGAGAGAGAGAGAGAGAGAGAGAGAGAGAGAGAGAGAGAGAGAGAGAGAGAGAGAGAGAGAGAGCGAGAAGGTGAGTAAGCGAGAGAGTGAGTTAGCGAGAGAGAGAGAGAGAGAGAGAGAGAGAGAGAGAGAGAGAGAGAGAGAGAGAGAGAGAGAGAGAGAGAGAGAGAGAGAGAGAGAGAGAGAGAGAGAGAGAGAGAGAGAGAGAGAGAGAGAGAGAGAGAGAGAGAGAGAGAGAGAGAGAGAGAGAGAGAGAGAGAGAGAGAGAGAGAGAGAGAGAGAGAGAGAGAGAGAGAGAGAGAGAGAGA